TATTGCAGTCCCAGTTACAGTTTTATTTTTTCACAAACACGATATAGGCCTTTAATAACAGATGGCACCTAGGTAACTTGATAGTTTATTCAAATTAATAAATAATTACACAAACATTGCAACACATCCAATCCATACATTTGAATTACAACACGACAAAATTATTTCATTAAACACATTAAATTACACGTTACAATAACAATGTTTCATTTCATTTGAATTAAATCTAGAATTAAAAAACATTTTGTTTACATCGGTCGTAGTGTGTTTTAGTAGCCTAATTAAATTAATACAGCGCGACTGGTTCCAACATCAGTATATGCATAGCTTCGACGAAGAAAATGTGGGTATTACAGAAATTAAAAAGCGTGAATTTCTTTAACTCAGTCACTTTGCTGTCAAAATTGTAAGTGATGTTTTAGTCCAGGTTATAAAAAAATACTGTGTAAGTAAATGTGTGGTACTTGATGATAAATTTGTTCCAAACATCGTGCGCGTTAGTGTTGGGAAGATGTCCAGTTCGTCATCGGTGTCTGTGATCGAATCCAGCGTCGATGATAGAAGTGAGAAGAGAGATCGCAAGTCGTTCTTCGGCCGACACGGCGTGCTCACCATCAGCGGCTCCAGTGGTGACGCCGACGTCTCCAATCTCGATTGTGAATGGTAAGAGAATTATTGTTCAAAACATATTTAGCTTCTATATTGAGTTTGAATACGAAAGTAAGTTAGTCTATTACCCTTTTCTTCATCTTGGCTTAGACCAATTTTCATTTAAAAGTATTCTTTCAAAGATAAACTTGATCGATAATCCTTGGCCTTTATACAACTTGCATAGTTCTTAGTTAAGTCGGACGCAAGCCGATATTTGGATAGTAAAGAAACCATATTTTATGAGGTTTTCTTTTATGTATGTATGTGCAAAGAAAGTGTGTTTAACATGAAATCAGTTAGTTGTATGTGCTGCAGCATATAGTCGCAACCATATTATACTAGCTTTTTACATATTGTATGTGAACTTATCAGTTTTTCCACACGTTAATTGTGTTTTTTAAAACCTAGTTGTAACAAAAAGGTTTTTGTTTACCGCTTTTTTTTTAATATTTTTTTTTTTTACTATTAGGTCCTTAAATTTACGAAATTCACTTACATATTTTTGTGTTTAAGAAATTATAATTTCCAAATTATATTTTTAGTAACATTCATTAATTTAACTTACGTATTACTTTACAAAACTGTTTATTACTATAATAAATATGTCTTTGACGAAATAATCAAAATTGTACGGAATGCCATCGTATTTGGTAATTTTTGGAAAAGGTGAAACGAGTTATTAAGAAAAGTATTAGAGGACAAAAGACTTTGTGATATAATAATTGAGATAATATTAGGAAGGGTTCTTTTTTGTGAAGAGTTAATATATTTTTATTGTTCTTTAGGAATCCAATGTATTTAAAGTTGTAAGATTAAGTTGGCGCGTCCTGTCGCATCCCTACAAATAAACTTTTATCCTATTTAACAATGGATTGTGTTAAGAGACAATCATCACTATCTCATTCTTATTGTTTGTAAAGAAATACCTTAACTTGGAACTCGGGGTAACACGGTGGTCGGTGGGAAATGTTTCTTGACGTATAACGTTAAAACTTTATATTTAACTGAACTTCGACTGACGTAACACTTTTATTAATACATATTGTTGTCGCTTTTTTTGTCAAAGTTAGTAAACGGGATGACAATTCAAGTGTAACTGCAGTAGAATTCTAGGGTTTCAAAAGTAAAATATTTTATTTTTCGTTGAAATCGCTTGAAACCGGCTCTGCTCGGAGAAGGCGGCCTCGAACTTGACCTTGAATTAATGTAATGCACGACTCTATTGAAAGTTTAGGGTTCCTTACAAATTTATCCATCTTTGTATTTACAGCGAAATAAAATATTACACAAAATAAGAAACATTTATCAATTACAAATAAAAACACAATAATGATTTTGCGCCTCTGACTCTTGTATGACATTCAGAAATAAAAATTTAAAGTTCTATAAAAACTGTAAACAGTTATTGGTAAATGAGTTGTTCCATCACATCACGCGAGTAGGAAAATGTTTCAATGGTATTGTTTAAAAGGAGGCGCTAAGGTTAAAACCCAAGAGCATAGTTGTTAAGCTTCAGCGTTACATAAGGTAAAATAAGGGTATAATAATTTGTTCAGTAACTAAAGAAGGGTTTCCTTGTTCCTCCGTTCCGTCTCACTTCTGAATCTCGATTTTTCAATCAACATATTTAAACAGCGCGCCCGGACTGGCGGAACATCAAACGTACATAGGTTAGGACAATTAAATAATAATAAATAATAATTCCGGATATATTTATTTGTATAACACTTTCACTAAAATAATCTTTATTCGATAAAAAAATCGAAACCTAAAATATATTACGGAGCCCATAATATATTTTGGGTTTCAATTTTTTTTTGTCGAATGTAATAAATGTCGTACACGCAAATTATACCTAAATTAATTGTTTTGACAACAGATAAGTGTTTGAAGTAAAAAAACTATATGAAAAGAAGGACTTCATGATGTCGACATAAAGCAGCAAAGCTTGTAATTGTTGATGTACTTGTAAAGCTCTGATAATGAACACGACAAGTGGCAAGTGTATATAATTATATAATGATCCCTGTATTATAGCTGAACAAATTATTGACTTTGAGCAGGTATTATACTTATATGTATAGGTAAGATAATTCACAATTTTAATTTAATCGTCAGTATTTTTTCACATTTAATATTTCAATATTAACGACATTGTGAACTTGAATATTGCATGTATAATATGAGGATAGTTTCACTATGTGTTAGGAGCTTAGATCACGTTAGACAGACTTCAACTGTGAAACATGACTCAATAACATGAAAACAACAAAGTTATCCTCTGATGACGTCATTATAAAATTTGAGTAGGGAGCCCTAAACTGTAGCCATGTGCCATCTCACGTGTTGAAGCCGCACGTGCTCGACTGCGAGAACGCACTGATAACATAGTAATATGATAGATAACGCAGCTCCGAGACTGCGCTTCACTTGCTATCTTCACTTGCTATTAGAATTAAATAGGTTTGGATAATTCAGAACCTTATAGATGAAATCTTTGTCCTTCTGTTAGTAGGTATATAGTGCGACGTTTATTTTGATATTATACTTTATTGGCATGTAAAAAGGTATGTCAAATTGATTTCATAATAATCTATTATAAATGAAATCATTTTAGTCAAATTAATCACAATGTTATACTTTAGTCAGGGATAAAGATTTTATGCTAAACGAGAAACTTCTTTAAGGATGTAAAAGGATGCGTCACTTTTGAAACATTTCGTTACATGAGGGAGAAGAAAGATACATATCACAGGTCGTGCAAAAGAGAAAGAGCTCTCATATATCGTCAGTCCAAGTGTCGTCCGTGTATGAACAGGTGCAAGGCGATTATTTGGGTAGTTTCACTTTTGTTGCCATAAAATATATAGCACTTGCTATTTTTAAAATCATATTCAACATATATTTTATCATTGTATGATAAACATGTACGTATAGCAAGCAATAAAAGAATGTCAGTTAATAAAGCAGTCCTTCACAAAGTCTGCGAGTCTGTGTTGTTAGTCATTTCATCGTAAACGCATCGTCAGAATTTTCCGCAATCAATACGTTCGTTCGAACCTTGTACATACATGTACATACTCGTATAAAGAGCTACTACTTAAATTGTGACCTTGAGAATGTTTATTTTTATTTGTACTTCATATACAGAAATTGTTTCCTTGATTAACCTAAGTTAACATTCATTTCATATTGGTAGATGAGTATATAAAAAAGTTCATTTTATCACAACCCTTATTTACATGTAAACTGTGTGTGTATTTGATATAGGCTTTGTTGCACAATACGACGAGAAGACACGTAACATTATGAATAACAAAAACACCACACATTGAGTACTGATGTCGAGCAATAATAGTCTTCGTATATTACAAAGGTATAATTGCCAGCTTATTTCTAAAACAATAGAGAATCTGTCAAGTACAATAAGATGTAAATCAAGGCAAGTTTTATATCTATTATACAAATTCATTAAATCATCTTGCAACCATAGACAATCTGTTATATTTGTACATGTAATGGATTGTATGTTCGTGTTGCTACAATGCTACTTGCTTGCTATGTATTGTTGTGACAAAATATAAAACGCAAAATGAGCTAAATTTAAGGATTTTTTGTAACTTACTGTACAAGCCAGTTACAACTTTATATGCTATTTTTAAATTTAACAGTAATTCCTTTCTTTTCAAGATGAACTTAGTCATCGCGCAAACTAAGAACTTTCTTGTTTTAATGATAAAAATAATTTTGATTTCAGATGAACTTAAAAAATTTTTGCAAGCTCTTTACTAAAAAAAAAGTATTTTTTAATAGTAAAAAATAAATAACAGCGATTTATTTGGAAAAATATTGATTTTATTTTAATAATGATGTATGTTCTAAAAGAAAAGCCGGGGGAATTTATGACAAGACATAACACTGTACTGCAGCCACAATAAGTTGTTCATCCGCTGTTCCATTTGTTTTGCATTCCTCACTCTATCGTTACCTAAATCCTCGTATTTCATTTATTATATATCATCCTCCTAATATTATAAATGCGAATGTTTACATGGATAGATGGATAGATGGATGGATGTTGGTTTGAAGGTGTCTCCGGAACGGCTGTCTTTATGGGCCACCGAGAAAGTATGCAAGTGGATTTTTTTTGTTTGAAATTTTTTCACATTTTGCACTATTCTTTCAATGTTTTCAAATCTTCTCCGCTCGCTAAAACGGTCGTCAACTTAAAAACATTCAGCTAAAGAATGGAATTGTTTGAGCACGTAACGGGTCTGCGTCCAAAACACTGGCAGCTGATAAAGCAGCGGACACAAGGCGATGCGTTTGACACACAGTCTGCACGCCGACGCAGCGGTGCGCGCGCGCCTTTTTTTTGTCTGTGCGCGGTGGTTCGCGGTTTGAATTCTTTGATTGACCAACGTTCGAAAACGCGGTTTGACTTTTTGAAATAAAATCGTTTGTTTTGTGATAAAGTGGTATAATTATGTTTATTACTTTGATTTTGTTTTCCGTGTGTATGATTTTGTTTAGTTTAGTTTTTTATTATGATTGAATTAGCTGTTATTAGAATTACAATATGTGTATAGTTACAAAGTAAACAAACGTTTTATTTCGCACTTTTATGTAATGTTTTTATGAGCCGATTCAGAAATTGTAAAAAAGGAAAAATTATACAAAAATGTTTTCCTATACGTAGGAACCTAGATACGAAGGTACTTGCTTATCTTTTGTGATCTCACGAGCTTAGTGACACGCACTAGTGAGAGACATTCAAAGTTGTCTAATTACATATTTTTATAAAATAAAACTTTAAAGCATAACATGCACTACTGTAAGTGTGATTTTTTGAAAATTATTAATAAAAGTCGAGGTAAAAGTAAGAAAATAATCACATTTAGGTATCGATGATTATTTGAAAATGTAACCTCTAAACTTTATATGAATTTTAACAAAAAATAACAAAAACCAAATTGATAGGAAACTATCAATTTGGTTTTTAAATTAAGTCGAAAAATTTAAACTTTTAATCGCGTTTCCTTTTTTTTAATTCTGCGCGAACGGAGTCGAGAACAAAAGCTAGTACCGAATAAAAAAACAAACAAGCAAGATGTCTGAGTTTTTCTACCATTATAAAAATAGTGAGTGGTAACAATCATTTCAATCCTAATAACAATCTTGTTATTAGGTTATAGTATGAAATGATGTCAAATATTATGTCTACCGAGGCGGGCGGATGGTGAATTAATATTAAAACTAGCTAAAAGTGAAGAATTTCAATGTTATATTCACGGGGTAATTAGTAATAATAGTAGAAAATTATTGATTAATTTTTAATTCATCTTTAGTGTAATATATATTTACAAAAACTTAACACTTGTGAGAAACGCAATGTTCCCGCTCACCTCCATACGTTGCGCCCTCAAGCTCTCGAAAATTCTTTACATCGTTTTGTCTTGTTAACTCTTTTTAGGCCAATGGTTTTCTGAAATATAATGTCATAAAAGAAATTCATCGGAATTCATGAGGACAGCGTTAAATTTACGAACTGTAATTTTATTTAAGTCGCGCGATAACTTATAACTTACGACATACATATGTGTACCTTACATCGAAGCTTTAATATAACTAATGTGTCGACGCTATCCTTTGTTTTCTATAATATATACATTTTTCTTTCATTTCATAAACAGTAGCAATTTTATAACATTGTCTTTTCTTACATCACACTGAGGCGTTAGATAATTGATGTAACATATATACAATATTATGACGTTATGTCATAATTAATACAACGATTAAAAATAAATCTTTGAGATATCAAATAAAGCAACCCATTTAGTTTGACACATATCATTCACAATTATATGCAAAATATCATTAAATGCTATTATTTAAATGAAATTTTAACATATGTTATGTTGAATATTATAATTGTTATAAAATTAATTTTACGTGTTTTATAAAATGAGATATGTCTTTTATCACTTAACAACCATTTGTCATCATTGTGTGTGTATAAATGTAGCAAATACGCCGAGCTTATACATACATACATACATAGTGAGAGAGAGAGAGAGAGAGAGAGAGAGAGGGAGAGAGGAAGAGTTATCAAATGGCTTAGATATTATAACAATTATTCTAAGGATTATTATGACAAGCAGAGAGATCTGATTAAATACGTATGTAGTTAGATAATTCATTAATTGTCTTTCATAAGTTATATGTACGAAGGTAAGTATAGGTAGCCATGTTACTTTGTGTAAAACACAAACCTTTTAAAAGAGGTTTTCCCTTTTCTTTTCTTACCTCTGCTTTAACACTTCATTTCTTCGTTTTATTTATAACGAGATTCTTATGTTCATTTAGAGCTAGTATAACTAAAACTGTAGGAAATTCTTCGAAGTTTGTTTAGAAGTAGTTAGTTCCGTAAGAAAAAATAGTCCGTAATTAATGTCATTAATGTAATAACGGTTTTATAGTAACAATATATGTAATATAGGTTAGGTGACGACTTGAGGCCACTGGAAAATTTTATATTTTATTCTAATGGATGGATTACGATCTCTTAAAGACAACGAACGTAATACTTAACTTGTTTCTAATACTCACATTTTTTATTCTGTAAGACACATATCTCACTCCAGCCATGCAACTGTAGTCTGGAAACAATGCCATATAAGATTTTCTTTTCAGTTATTATACATACTCGTATATGCAGACTCTAATTGTCAATAGAATAAATTAAGCTCCGCGAACTATTGGAATACTCAAATATTGTACAGATTTTAACATTTGCAGAGCTCGGCACCGCGCGAGTAATCGCACTCAATTAACTTTTTGTCATCGTCAAGTCGCTGGCACAATGATTGTTTTAACATTATAATATCATCAAGTCAAGGTAGTCGTTGCTAAACAGTACACATTTTTAATAATAATTCAGTTTTAAACATGAAATCGAACAGTAATTGAAGGGTTTCAAGGTCAGCTCTGGTGTTAGTTACATACTTATTGCTAAGTGAACATCCTAATTAGATAGTTTAATTAGATATACTATCATTAAACTAACTCTGCGTTTCTCTCACAATAGTTAATTGTTTTAGTTTGTATAACAAGATGTTCGGTTGCCTGCAATTTTTTCAGCGCAGAATAAATAAAAACAGCTGATGTTACTTCACCTACAAGCCATTTCGGAGTTTACCCAGAACAAACGCGCCTTTTACACAGACAGACAAAAATGAAGAATCATGTGTACGTAATATATATTTTGATCGACTTTACATACAGACGCTGTAATTTTATATGTATAATAATCACACACATACAATGAAGATATCAAATTTTCAGTCGGTTTTTCCTGCTTTATCACCCCTTCATACGTAAGATAAAGCTTAATATTTTGCTATTTACTAGTCCCGACCTACTTTAATGTCACCATTTGCACACGTTCTAACAGAATACTTCGACGTGATAATAAATGGTAATTCCGTTCGCACGATTGCCACTTATATTTAGCTGTTATAATTGTAGCAATTCGCATTAGTTCTATTGAAAAACATGTTACAGTCACACCCTTGTTCTATTGTGAATAAGATGAGTGGTCTATTTGTTCAGTGTTCAGATTTTTACATTGCTTGTCTGTTCATCATTTCACTTTTAGATGTAAGTCACGACTTTTGTTTGTGCACCATTGATTACTCACAACAATGAAACTTAGCTAGTCACAGTAGCTATCATGAAATAATCTCGTGTAACTCGATCTACCGTACAGAGGTAGGCAGAGATTCATTTATAGTATGCATCTAAATATATTAAATATATTATAGCTTAACTTAGCTACGTCTCTCACAAACCGTAAACTTACTACATTGTAAATATATTTTGCATGTTTTGAAAATAAAACCCTTATCTACGTCTGCATGGAAATGAAGTTTTTATCAGCACATATTTTATGTGCATTTCAGAGTCACAACGATCGTTACAAAACTTGTTGAGATACGAAAATTCATTTAATTTCAATGTCCAAAGTGGCAGAGTAAAGTGAGTGATATGTCAAAATGTGTTCGCTGCTCGTGGTTATCTTCTACCAGTTGTCGATGTTCTTTGTTGTTTTTATTAGTTAATTTGTTGCTTGATTTAGAGTAAAAGTTAATTGTTTCTGATAAAAAAACTTATATTATTGTTACCTCAGTGATTAAGCTATTTCAAAAGAGTATGTAATTATGACTTTGAAGATTGAGAGAGTGATTTGAATTATTTAGGACACTTTTACTTACGGTGTCCAATCATCCTGATCGGGCCAAGACCCTGGGGGTTGTTAAATGTTTTACAATGAGGTTTGAGGTATGAGGCCGTCGCGTCGTATGTCGCAAAACTGCAAAGTGACGAGGCAGGTATCAGTTTGCGGTAAACATCCGTGTTAATAATATAACAATTCCTGTGCCGCTAACGAACGAGCGGTGTATGTTGTGTGTGTGTGTGTGTTGTTCATCACGACGCAGGCGCCACAATTAGACCCTTCCGGTACACACCGCGATTATTGTTACCTTGGCAATTAATAATGTTTTACTGTTAGTCCACGTGTCGCTCTACACTTTTACTCGAATTTAGGAAAAGAGTATAAGCTTAAAACAAGTAGCAAATACTGTGGAATGAAGTGATGAAAAAATTATACGAAATAAATCACTTGACCGTTTTTCAGGTACTCGGTGGAAACGTGAATATAAATTTAGCATTCATTTGTTTAAATACATCAACTTTATCCTTTGCTTGTCTGTAGTTTAGTGTCGTGTCGTGTCGTTGTGTACAGCAGCGGTATAGGTACAGTTCGGGTGAGAGTCGGGGTGTTGCCAGTACCATTGCAACGAATGCTTGAAGCTGTCCGTGTACGCAAGTGTGGCAGTATGTTAGCATTGGATTGCCACGTTACGTCACAATGTAGGTGAACAAAATATGTATTAGTGGACGACATCGGATACATTAGAACGACAAGCGAGAAGCGAGAAGTTACGGCGCGGCGGACATCCGAACTGCAGGGCGGCACGTACTAGCGTGTAACACTACACTATTGTTTACCGACACTTCTCAGAACCGAGACATCGGATTGCGATACTTTATAATGCAGCACCTACTTGCTAATATCTAGTCTAGTAAGAAAGCAAGCGCCTTGCAATTTTAGCACTCGATGATATTTATAAATATTGTAAATATTTGAGGCGGCTCGTAGTACGAAGCAAGCGATCGCCTGTCTTTAACTGAGAGAGGTAGACCGAGTATAGTGACTTACATTTGGCACAGTCCTGGCACACCGTTTTCGCTTCTTGCACATTTACACGTATTCGCATGCATGCTCCTCGGTTATTGGTATTATGATAATATTGGAGCGCTTTAAGATGTATACAGCAGAAAAAGTATACCTTGCTTTTATAAACTTATGCAGCCTGTTTTTTTTCTAATTAAGTTTTTTTCTCATTTGAGTATAATTATTTATCAATAAAGGTGACTTGAGATTTAACTCGCGATATGTCACGTACGAAACAACCGGTTTTATCTGGATAAATCAAGATAATATGTTATATCTCTATCACAAGAGATATTTGTACTTTTATAAGTACCCTCTTGAAATTGATCGCGATATCTATCGATCTATCTTGCTTTAAGACACACAAGTTTTCTTAAAGCAACCCGTCATCAAATATAGCAAGTGCCGTCTGCTCGACCTCGAATATAGAAGATCTTTGACTTTGTAGGTTTTTCTTGTTTTGAATGATTAACTTTATTAATATTTATTCTTGTAACAATATAAAGGATGGTGCTCAATGTTTCTGTTTTCTGTTTTATCATATTTTATTAAAATTTTAAACTTTCAACTAATTTTTTTGTCACAAATAAATCACCTATAAAAGTGGTTAATCTAACCACCAATTTTAGTACTAGATTCTAGAAAGTAACAAAATGGCCGTGTGTAAAATCCGGTCAGAACCGGTCCGAAGCGGTTCGAAGCGGTTCATTCCAGTTTCGGGGCCATTGACCCAAGTTAACGTTGTTGTGTCTGTTAACTTTGAATAACTTAACAATAATATTTACTAATTTTAGCATCATTCGTGTTTTTTTTCAAAAAATCTTTGACCTAGGGCCAGGTTTGAGTTTATTTAGTCCTACTGCTTATTACTAATCGATCGTTTTAAAGGAAAAGCTCTACAAGTACAAAACTTGTGCAGTTTTTGAATATAAACGCCATAATATTTCGTCTTCGTCTTTCGCCGCTTTAATGTTACTGTAGTAGGCAAGAATAAAAATTATATTCAAGCACTGTTTTCATTGACTAAGTATAAACTAACAACTATCGACGTAATGTGAGGCTCTGTTGTGTGTATGTACATTTATATCTTATAGCTGATAAGATAGCATACCGTATCTATAATGAAGGGATAAACGATGCCTGTTTGAACTTCTTACTTAACTAAACACTGGATTTAACTCGAAACCTCATCTCCTAATGTACCTACTCATCCTTTATGCAACTGAATTTTGATAATAAAAACACCTTATCAACAGAAACCAAAGCAATAAACAAAGAACTTAGTTTGCTAAAACTTTGTTATCATAATTATACAAGTGCTACGAAGAAATTACAAAAAACTCGAGTAGACTTTAAAAAGTGCGAATGTGACAATGCAATATGGCGGATTTCCTGACGAAACTTAAGCGGCTAGGTAGGGGAGGTGCGAGACAGACGAACAGTATATATTCAATGGTATCGTGCAGTGACGTCACGCCGGGCAGCCTGGAGGTCTGGTTGGATCTGCCCGACGAGATCAAATACGATCCCTCGCTCGCGCCCTTCAAGCAACTGTACGAACAGCGACACGGTACGTACTGCTTCTACCTTTAAAATTTGACAATACGTGAGGTTCCTGAGAGCAAAACGATAAAGTTGATAGTACATTGAACAAACTCTTCGGTATGCATATATTTCATTTCGCTTAAAATTCTTTGGACGCATCTCATATTTATGCTTTTGCTTTGGTAATCAAAATTATTGTTATTGTAGGCAAGTTGGAGCGATCAGAACAGCACACGGAAGGGGATAAGACAATCGGCAATGGAAAGACAACGGATAGTTGTATACCGTCTGAAAACGGGAATGAGGTCACCAAAGATTGCGAGAACGGGTGAGGGGAATAACTATGATTTTAACTATTAAAATAGCGATAAAAATACAATACGGAAAAGTACGTTATACATGTGCTGCCGCTAAGATAAATATATTTGTTTCATGTTAATGATTGCTTTAATTATAAAACGATTTTTGGATTGTTGATGAACAATAAATAAATCAAGTCATGACATGAATCCATACCGCACACGCAAAGTATTCGACATTGACAGCTAATAATATAGATTAAAACAACCTATTTTAATCGTTAGCCTTAATCGGCTTAGTTCTATCCTGTGCGCGTTTAAGTGGCCACGTGATGGACAGACAAACAGACGGACAGACAGACGGTGAGCCAGTCAATAACGCAGCCTGACGGTTCTACTAGTGGACACGATATCTGTTTCCGATGCGTAAAGTGCTGATTTAACATTCCTTTACCTAAATATAATATGTAAATGTGTTTATCTAGGATCTATTATATCTGCTTTATTATGTTATTAGTAATAACAATAAATTGAATGTCATTTGTTCAGATTAATGGACCAAATGTTACCAGAAAAAGAAAACAAGAAGAAATCAACGAAAAAGAAACAGGTAATCAAACTCTTTGCGGATTCCTTCGCAATCGATAAATTATTGAATATTGATGAAAACCACACGGACAAAGAAAGCGAACACCATAATAATACAAAATGCGAAATGTAACAGCTATATGTAATCCCCAGATAAACCGTATGTTACGCGTCATCAAATTAGGCGCACTGGTAGCCTGCTGGGGCCTGTTGACCGTCTCCTTGCTGCTCAATATGGAGACCAGCGACGTGGTCCTCCATACTGCTGTAGAAGCCGGTAGTGTTAAAGGTGAGCATGTATTGCTTACTGATACAAAATTCCTGTAGAATGTTTTTAAAAGGATACATATAACGTGTAGACTACAAAGTCTACACGGTTTAATTAGGTTTTTTTTTAAATTATACATTAACAGATTTTGTCAATTTACTAATTTTTCTTGTTCCATTCCAAATAAGCTCTATGCTTGTGCTAGGATATGGTTTACAACAATAGTCGAATAGCGGGATTCGAACTTTCCAATCTATAATCCACATCCATTAGGTTAATAACGCTTCAATTTATTTTAAGAGTGTCTTTTTGTTTAGTGAAACTTGAAGTATTCGACGTTTTCGAACACAGACCACAAAGAATGCAGAATAAAGTGACTAGTGAAAAAATTGTTGAGAATTTCGCGGGAACCAAAACGCATAAATACAAAATGCACGCGGCACATTATCAAATATCAATTTGTTAGCGAAACGATATGTCATTGTTGCTTAAATCAGTTGAAGGCGCATTTTTTTAAAATAACGTACTTTGCGATCGTAAACATTATTGTCCCCAAATTGCTAGTTTATATTGCGTGCTGCTTTTAACCGAATTTTTACTGAGACAAAATTCAAAATAAATAACAAAAATGAACTCTTTTGAGATAATTTCCTTTGTTGGAATGTGAGTCGTGCGATGGTAAGTACTACTCTCACTATACACGTGGTAATGCAAAAGAATACTGTGCACGTTAAACGAAATGCGACATTTAATATGCAAGAAGTTATAAATGTGTGGTAAATGTTTGCAGAATACGAGCTCAGCGGCACGTCTGAGACGGCGAAGGTCCTAGTGACACTGGCCGGGCCATTCGAAGAGGCGGCTACTAATGACTCTAATAGTCTACTCTTTCTCTGCCTTCGTAAGACTCCAAATAAATGGGCTGAATATGAACTGGTAAATGACTATTGCTTCTGTTAGTTTTTATTTGATATCCATATACATATATCGAAAACTGTTATAAGGGACTTAAAAAGCATTATTTCGACATAGAACCCTTTGTTCCGACCTCGAAACAAGTGTACCGAATACGTGCGTAGCTTACCGAATACAAAGTTGTAAGTGAAACCGCAGTAGAGTCGTAAACAAAGTGTTACAAGAACATGGCAACACGTTATTGTAACACCATAGGAAATGGATTTATTATATTTATTTCTTTTTTTTTTGAACCCTTTTTGTTACCGAATGATGAATTCATATCAGAACTCGAGCGTGTGGACGGTGCGCTTGAAGGCGGACGATGTGATGGACTTTGCGGCCAGTTCCTCCGATGCAAGGATATTGGAACTGCAGTCAATACCGCACGACCACCACACCAACACATCACGTGACCACAACTCAACAAAACCTGCCAGTAGTTCTATAGCAAACAATGTCGATATAGAGGGAAATGGTAAATATAAAGTAAATCAAACAAACACAAACAAACAAACACTGCGAATGTGACATCAAATTGGAACAATGAAACCTAATGGTATCCAATCCTCATTTCATTTTGGTCAGGCAGAGACACAATTGTGAACTCTTAGAGCCTTAAAAGCTTTCGAAATGTGAGATGTTATCAGATGCACATTTTTCACTTAAGGCATAGTCGTACAGTGTACAGTCGGCTTCTTGCTTTTTTTAAATCGGATACTACTTAGTGTTTATTCATAAACACACCCTTCCTTATTCTGCAAAATCTCCGATAATAATATATATTATAGTACGGCTATGTTGTTAGGCCGTGCGGTCGTTTGGAACAGTTTTCTAATATTATTATATATTCTTGTTTTTTGTCAGATTCAAAAGTAAGGTTATGCGTGTGGAGCACGAGCAACAACACGGTGCCCATCACCGTCAGCTACCACGTGGATCCCATCTCGGAGGATGACGGCATCGTCTACGCCTCGCTGTTGCTCGCCTCCTTGTATATACTTATCATATTTGAGGCAAGTAAAATTTTTTATGAAGGCAGTGTGCGCACTTGTCGTAATTATCAACGCAATTCAACATCCTTAATGCTTTTAAATATGCTGTGAGAAGTTTTTTGGCATATCAGATACATGTTGGATGTATCTTTTTGTAGGTGGTGAACAGAACTATAGCGGCACTTCTCTCATCGTCGCTTGGCATCGCGGTGCTGGCGCTGGGCGGCGCGCGGCCCTCGCTGCCCGAGCTGGTCTCCTGGCTGGACGTGGAGACGCTGCTGCTGCTCTTCAGCATGATGCTGCTGGTCGCCATTCTCGCAGAGACCGGCCTCTTCGATTACTTGGCCGTGCTCGCGTTCGAGGTAACGTTCGCGTAATTAATCATGTCTATTTTTGAAACTTCCTCCTGTATTACCTTAATACAGCGTAATAAGTCGCCCCGTATTTGTTGTTGTATGCAGATAAAGAGACGTCAAAGATGTTTATATTGAAATATGTGTGCGTCTTCAAATAAGTTATTCAAGTAGTTGAACATTTCAGGTGACCGGAGGCAGAACGTGGCCGCTTATCAATTGCTTGTGCTTCTTCACAGCGTTCTTCTCCACGTTCCTCGATAACGTAACGACGGTGCTTTTGATGACACCTGTAACAATTAGGTAAGATTCTTGTCATTTCAATGAGTAAGTAGATAATGTGTGACTTCTGTAAAGTGCGAGAAGACGTAAGTTCCAGCACACATGTGTTTGTTACCCGGTGTAGGCTGTGCGAGGTGATGCAGCTGAACCCGGTGCCGGTGCTGATGTCGATGGTGATCTTCAGCAACGTCGGCGGCGCGGCCACGCCCGTTGGCGACCCGCCCAACGTCATCATAGCCAGCCATCCCTCTATATTACACGAGGTAACCGCCATCTAACTACTTTACGACATTATTAGTTAGAATTATTTGGCGCGAATGGCGCGCTTTCGTTACAAAGTCCAGTGTCAGAATGATGAGGGGACATAAACGTCGACATGTTAGCAAGGCTAGTGTTGGGCCAGTACACCGGCACCGTTTCGGATTTTCTTCCTAACACTACAACGAATATTTGTCCCGTTTAATCGCACAAGAGTAGAAGCCCATCTACCACGTAATTCACGCCAAAATGGGACCTTTGAATTGCTCGGCTTGCAAATGGAGTCGTATGCGCGTTGCAGAACATAAACTTCACGACGTTCACGCTGCACATGGGGGCGGGCATCCTGCTGGTGGCGGCGCAGACCTACCTGCAGCTGCGTTACATGTTCCGGGACATGAACGCGCTGCGCCACACCGTGCCCCGGGACATACAAGGTGAGTCTTGTTGGATGTCGTGGCCGGTTGGCAGCCAGGATGGTGCATGCGATATGGAATGTGCTCAAGTTGTGTGTCGGGTCAGAGCTGCGGCAGGAGCTGGCGGTGTGGCGACGCGCGGCGGCCTCGCTCGCCTCCTACTCGCGCGACGAGGACATCGTGCGCAGGGCTCTCGAGAAAAAGGTTCGTACTTCGTGAAATTTCTTTTATCGATTAATCAGTTTCATTTACCTATTATATTTTTTATTAGTTCGTGTGTTCGTTCATTAATTTATTTGAATTTTCATTACAAAGATGTTGAAAATATACTGTTGTTATTTTCTTCGTTCAGTTTTCAGCCCGTATCCAGATCCAGGCTTATATCGTCATTGATAAATTGAACTTTTTAGGTACAGAAACTGCACGCTACCTTGCAGAAGCGCGAGTCCGGCAGCGGCAGGTCCAAGTCCGATCCTCTTTTCTGTTCTACTCTGGCGCAAATGAAACAAAAGGTGAGCTCGCTGCCTCCTCACTTGACGACTGCGTAGGCTTTTATATTTTTAGTAAATTAGGACTAGAGATACAAGTACGATGATTAGCAGATATCCATGTAATTTTAACGCTGGACTTGTAATATGTAATTTAGTGTGCTGGTAACATTGACTGTAATAATGAATATGGTGTCTAAGCTAACGTGAGTGTTGTCTGCTGCAGTACCGCATAAGGGACAAGCCGCTGCTGGTCAAGTCGGCGGTGTGCGTCGCCTTCGTTGTCGTCGTCTTCTTCTTGCACGCTATACCGGAGCTGCGTGAGTATTAAATAAAAAGTTACACCTAGTCTGAGAACAGAAAGATTAGAAAGTTTTGTTAAAAATCACTCGAAACCAAACCTCAAAAACTACTAAAACCTTGTGCTAGAGAGTGGTTTCGAATATGAAGAAACAGTTGATTAAATTGGCGAGTGCAGCATTGAGTCGTGTGCAGAACGGCTGTCGCTGGGCTGGACGGCACTGCTGGGCGCGCTGCTGCTGCTGCTGCTGGCGGAGCGCGAGGACCTGGAGCCGGTGCTGGCGCGCGTCGAGTGGTCTACGCTCCTCTTCTTCGCTGCACTCTTCGTGCTCATGGAGGTTACCATTTAATCAAATTCGATTCTTCCACTTCTCTGGTAAACGTTAAAAAATGTCACAGTACCTACATTTCTCTGTCGGTTTTTAATTATTCGCCTGAATAAACAAATAAACTTAATGTAAGGAAATATATTTATTTGCATGTGTTACAGGCGCTGTCTAAGCTGGGTCTTATATCTTGGATCGGCAGGATGACGGAGTCGGTCATCCTGCAAGTGAACGAGGAGTCGCGGCTCACGGTCGCGCTCCTGCTCATCCTGTGGGTGAGTACCCTCCGGAGGCACGATGGCTACATTTCTCTCTCTCAGTTGAATGTTCCCCGTAACATTTAGTGAGGCGTGTTACGTCGCAGGTGTCGGGGGTGGCGTCGGCGTTCGTGGACAACATCCCTCTGACGACGATGATGGTGCGTGTGACGGCGGCGCTGAGCTCGCCAGCCGGCCTGGCGCTGCCGCTGGCGCCGCTCGCCTACGCGCTCAGCTTCGGCGCCTGCCTCGGAGGTAAAAACGAGTGAGCGGCTGATGTCGGGTGTGCAGATGTGTGCAGATGTGTGCAGATGTGTGCAGCGTTGTGTCTCTGTCCGCAGGTAACGGCACTCTGATCGGCGCGAGCGCGAACGTGGTGTGCGCCGGCGTGGCGGAGCAGCACGGCTACCGCTTCTCCTTCTTGCAGTACCTCAAGGTGGGCTTCCCCATCATGATCGGCAACCTGATGGTCGCCTCCGTCTACCTCCTCTTCTGTCACAGCATCTTCCAGTGGCACTGACCGCCACGCGGCACAAAATGGTTCATCCATTTACAAATGTTAATGTAACAAATTGTTTTACTTTTTAAAGTTTTAAAAGTTTTACACATCAGATATAAAAACATTTTTAAAAATTAATTTTATATTTGAATATAAGAAACATGAATTATTTTAGTAAATGGTCGAATTTCAAGTCCTAAACTTAATTATTTGTTTGAGTTTCACTCATTTATCTATGTATATTTATGAATGAAAGTAAACGACCCACGACTTAAACTATCCAAATAATTTACAAAAATATATTTTTTGTTGTCTCATTATACATACATACATACATACATACATACATAGACTAATAGACGTAAAGTTTTATCTGTTACTAAAAAATTGTTAAAGTTAGAAAGATAATTTTTACGTCAATCGACTTTTAGTTACTTTAGTGTAATTTAACCTGCGTAGAAAAGTGAAGCGTAGTTTGTAGTTTTGTTGTACGTAAGTATTATGTTTAATGTCATTTCCCCTATACATCTCTCTCTCTCTATTAAACATATTTTACTTTATAACTCTTTTATCTTTACAATACTTAATATGTTATTTATTAATCCTCTCGCTATGATTTTTTTATAAAAACGCTAAAGAAATGGATCTAATGAAATCTAATTTAATATGCGATTTATTTTTTATGTTTCTGACATTCAATTATATGTTTCTCAAAGTTAACGCAGCAGCAGCAGCAGCAGCAGCAGCACTTCTTGTAACTTAAAAACATTGAGTTTTATAACATACATATATTTTGTATCTATTCATTTTATGTTTAATATTTTAATTGAAAGAAATTGTGTGTTGTTTTTTTATCGTTGATCGATTATTTTATCGTTGCTTATTCTTTTTATTCATTTGTATCAGTATTAAGTAAAAGTGTGATATTTTTTAGTTATAGCACCTACATGTAACATGTAACATGTAACATATAACATTGTAAAATACAACACGATTTTTTTTATAATTTTGATAACAATAATAAATTAGCTGCAGATTTGATTGGTGAATGCTCGCACGCAACAATCTTTATTCATAGACCAGTATTCGTTAAGTTTATATAAATATTCTATAAGTATGAAAATTATCAAATATTTATAATAGTATAAACATACATTGAATAGAATGAATCTGTTTTAACCACAGAAAAATATAATAACAATGAATTTTGTAAAATATTCTGCGAAGTTGTAACTTCGTCACAATTGTAATATTTTATTTATAATTAATAAAATGTATGATAATCCATGTCGCACTCAACACCTCTACTATTTGATGTTGTGATTGTGCGCCACTGCTCCACCGCTGAATGTGTGTGCCTTCCCTTCCCCCACGCAGAACCATCCTCCGGAAGAGGAACAATAATGGAGTTAATGTTCCGATTAGTGTTGCCCCACAGTTAATTAGAGTAAATGCAGTTAGCGTCGGTGGCGGTGCAGGTGTTGGCGGGCGGGGGATCGTGCGCGGAGGCAGGGGCGGCGGCGAGGGAATTCGCGTACTCGGCGGAGGGATCCCCGCACCCCGCCACCTCCCTGAACATGTAGTAATTGTTGTCCAGTGTAAACTCTAACACGCTGCTGTTTCGTACCAACGTTGTAGAGTTCCCATGCGCCTGCTCACCGCTACTCTGAAATAAGCGGATTATATAGCCGTTCTTAATTATTATATACCTAGTAATGTGCCATAAAAGCTAAAACACTTTGAATGTTTACGTATCTATAAAACTTACCTTCCTTGCATAAAGGTGAAAAACAAGGAAGAGCAGAGCGACTACGATGATGAGCAAAATGATGACTAGAGCAGGTAACATGCGCACTTCTGTAAATAATATTGCAATAACATCAAACATTAAAATAATCACCAAAAGTGTTGTTCTGTAAAATTGGAATGGAGATAATGAAGCTATTCACCATTAAGCGACGTCTCTGTCACGCTGTGCTCCACACTGTCGATCTCACTGTCTGCAACACGTTACATTTCATTGCTTCTCTACCTAATTACTATCACTATTAACTTAAACGTTAATAAAAAATCAATGAACGTGGTAGATTCCCTCATTATTAAAAAACTTCTTGACTTTTTACTTGCTATATTAACTATTAGGAATTTTAATTATTATAGATAGATAGACAATAGATTTATTATTAATGGGACTTTTACCGATTTCGGAAGATTGTTGTTTGAAGGTCGTCGGTAGCCCTATCACACTCAAACCTGTACAACAAATAAATATCCATTACAATCCTTTTTAAGCAGACGCGGATTTAAATATGGGGTTTTTTAATCACAAGTATCTCAATCATAGTAAGTCAATTCCCAAAAACATGAACTTTGAAACGTCTCCATCGATCCGAATTAGGAATACGCGTTTTTCAACGATATTTACAATATCATAAATAAATTCCCTTGCACAGAGTTGTAGATCATAAAATTATTTATAAAAATTCACTCCGTAGAGTCTAAAATGTGCGTCGAAAGTTCTGTTTAAACTTTTAAACTCCACTAGGACGAGGTCGCGTATAACAGCTAGTCGTTTCCTAATCGTATATTTATTTAATGTAAGCATCATCCTGTCTAGCAATGCTACACATGTTGAATACTTACTATTGTTCTGTGTACGATGACTGAGTAACTTGAAATCTATTGCCAACTTGGCTATATTCCCCTGGACGATGTCCCCTTTCACCGCGTAACAATATACGAGGCGTTTTTCGCTTCGCCGCGCCCTGCTGTGGAAGTCGCTCCGCACTTGACAAACTTTACCGTCGTCACTGCACCTTGTGTTCACTGAAAAGGTTTTACTGTTTAAAATTATTGAAGTAGACTAAGATAAGAGAAGATAAAATGTTGGTAGTCAGAAGACCGCAGTCATACCAAGTTATCTGCTGCTAAACTGCCTACTAAAATGACATAATGTGATAGCGTAGTGTCGTACCCTACACCGGACAGGGTGTGTGGTGGCCAATGACCTCGAAACAATAACCACTTAATTATGTATTAAAAGAAGAGGTATTAGGTATGTACTTACTATCACTTAGATCTCTTCCGCACATCATCAAATAGTCAGCATGAAGTTTGGTGAGGCAGGTGACGGTGATGTCGGCAGACGCGCTCACATACTCGTAGCCGTACGTGCCTGCCTCAGGACCACTCATCTCCTGCAGTGTCTTCTTATTCACCGTCACTTCAATAGTACTTGCTATAAACATGTTAATCCTTATGAAGAGTGAGATGACGGAAGATGACGGACCCTACGGCTACGTGACCACGTGACCATAAGTTCAGGGAGATTATGAAATGTTATTTGAATTGCTGCACATTTATTATCAACTTCATAGATGAAAACAAAAGTCCACAGTATTTCAAAATTTGTTTCATAAACCTTATTTATCTATACACTACTCTATCTACTATATCTATCTTACCCTGGTTCGCTTCGTCTAAACAGAACAAGTTAGACATTGAAGTACAATATGATGCAGCTACGCCATCTACAACATATAATATACAAAATATAATATTATCCGAGGCGAGCGTTCTCCCAGTGCAGCACATAACAGACAGATGCCACATGCAATTATATATCTTATACATACGTACCCCTGTTACCTAATCTTATCTCAACGGTTAAAGTGGAATAAATTGCGGTTGTACTTGATACGCATATCAACTTTGTGTTGTTGTCCCTGTCTCGTAAATGAATTCGATAATTTAGCGAACTTGTCATTTTATTTTCCTTACAATACATGCTGCTATATCCATTTCCTGAAAATATAATGCATAAAACATAACATTTATAAAATGATCATTCCGTTGGTAAAAATAATTGAAATATTAAAAGAACCTCTAAGAATTGTACTGTCGTAAGTAAATTAGCGACTAAAATCACAGGGTTTGGAAGATTTACGTTTCCTTGCTTAACTGACAGGAGGGAAATGCGTCATCTTTTATTTAGAGCCCACTCACGTTTAATTATCCATCGGAGTGTAACATTTTTAATGTCAGAGGTGCATGTGATGTCAAGTAAGTCATTATGAAGATCAGCATTGTAAATAATTTTATTATCGACGCGTTGCAGCTGTCTGCCGTTTTGATTGTTAATAATTTCCAATGCACCTAAAGGAGGTTACACAGTGATGTTAAAGTAACGATAAGTATATGTTTCGCCGCGGCGACGACGACGGCTCAAATATACGCTTTAAGACTTACATATAAATCCAACATTGCAGACAGTTATTAAAAAGACATTTGAAAACATAACTGAAATCCGTTTCACGACACCCTGATAACACTGACAATTACTTTGTAATTTAATGTAATACAAAACAACCACAGGAAAATATATTTATAAACCAGGAAAAGTATGGCTGACATTAGGTACTTTTTGAATTTAAGGCAACCCAGGTACCTACTTAGTTTGTTAAATAATGAATCAACTAGTTAAGGCCAGCGACTACGTCGGCGCGGGATTTTAAAAAGTAATAATAATATTTTCCTGCAGCCTAGTTCAGCGATATCCATACAACCGTTCTGAAGTTAACCACAAATCCATCCATCCAAACATACGCATTTTATATATATATATGTGTTAAGGGGTGTTAATGTTGTTGTATTAAAATATTATAAATTGTATCTATGTATTTAATTTGATTCTCCATGTTTACATTTTACGTAATAATATTTTAATCATAAATACAAAAGGAACATCGATAATAAGATGCGTCGCGTCGTTTGATGAGAGAGCGCTCGCCTCACCTCGCCTCGCCTCGCCTCGCCTCGCCGCGCCTCCTTACTTTGCTTTATATTTCTGATAACTCTGTAAAGAATTTATTTTGCTATATTTAATTTACAACTCTATCATATTAACTTATTTTATCAAGGTTTCAAAATTGAACATAAAATAAATTTCGTTGTTAGTGTGTAAGTAAAATTCCCGTACAAAAAAAACATTTTTTAATTATTTTTGCCGTCACTTTTGTGGGAATCTTTATATAATCGTAAGAATTTTTAAGAGCTACTCGCTTTTATTGTCTTGTATAATGAACGCAGAATGATTTAAATCCTAAATAAATATAAAAGTTCGCAAAATTGCAAAGTTAGTTATGGCATAACCTGTAATATGTGTGTGTGCGAGTTTGTGGGTGCTGCAACTCACCTCGGCGGCCATGTTGCGCAGCATGGCCGCGGTCTCAGGTCCGGTCTGCTGGACCAAGGACTTGAAAATTTCCGGATTATTTTCATCTCCACCAGACGCCAGGTCTCCTGACGTCAGCAGTTCGAATGGATGACCCGACTCCACCACGCGACCCCTGGCACACAAGTTCATTCAATTTCTATTCAGTAAAGTACACCAAAAGTCCATTAAATGTTTAAGAGTGTTGTTCACTTTACGTATATCAGAAGACTACTTAGTTTGTACACAATAAACGGCTTTTATCATCTTTGTTTAATCTGAATCTCGTAAATTCTGCCACAAGTTTTTAGAACTTTTCTTTCACGGGTTAAATCCGAGTTAGGTTAGCTATGTGTGTTATCCTAACTTGTCCATAACGATAACGCGGTCGTAGTCCATGACGGTGTTGAGGCGGTGCGCGATGGTGAGCACCGTGGCCTGCGCGAAGGTGGTGCGCAGCGTCGCCTGGATGTGCTCGTCCGTCCTGCAAGAGCGCGAGCGCGGTGTGAGTGCGGGTTCGGGTGAGCGTGCGTGTGCGCGTGCTCGAGCGCAACGTGACTCACTCCGTGTCCACGTTGGCCGTGGCCTCGTCCAGCACGAGCACCTTGCGGCCGGCGAGCGCGGCGCGCGCCAGGCACAGCAGCTGGCGCTGGCCGGCCGAGAGCGTGCCGCCCGCGTCGCCCACGCGCGCCGCCAGCCCGCCCGGCAGGCCCGCGGCCGCCGCGCGCAGCCGCACGCGCTCCAGCGCCGCCCACAGCTGCGCGTCGCCGTACCGCCGCTCGGGGTCGAGGTTGTCGCGCAGCGTGGCGGCGAACAGCGCGGCCCGCTGCGGCAGCGCGCACAGCCGCGACCGCCACGCGCGCAGCCCGCACGCCTCCGCGCGCACGCCGTCCACCGTCACGCGCCCCGACACCCGCGCCAGCCGGAACAGCGCCGCCACCAGCGAGCTCTTGCCGGCGCCGGTGCGCCCCACCACCGCCACCTTCTCGCCCGCCGCCACTGAGAAGCTCACGCCGCGAATGGCGTATGACGGCTCCTCCGCCGCTTTCTCACATATCTCGTTATCCTTTTTTGGTGGTTTCTCATACTCCAAGAAAACGTTCTCAAATACAATTTCCCCTGTAAAGCAAAGATGCTGGAATCATCAGTATATCTCAGTTATTTTTTTCTCTTTCAAAAACAGTTTCTTACTTGAACAAGTTTCCAGTGTGGAGAGGATCTAACCATAAAGCTACCACAGTAATTCCGCAACTCAACATTCAGTTACTTCCTGTAATGATTTCTTTTCACTTGTAACATATCACTAACCTTTCTCAGGCCACTTGTCAAAGTCCATGTCCGGATACTGTTCCTTTAAAGCTTTCTTGTCGAGTTCCATAGGTTCCTCAGCTGGGAGATTACTATATTCCAAAATTCTCTCCACCTGAAAATGAAAGCTAAAGGTTAAAATTACTATAAAAATCCTAATTTAGAACTATTTTATTATTTCATGATATTAAAAAAATAATGTTTTTTCTTTACCGATGTCATTTGATTCTCCACATCAGCGGTTTGTCGCATGCCGTACTGACACATGCCCACGAGGCCGATTGCCTGCGTGATGGCCAGACCCACGTTGCCGCCCATCGAGTCTGCAACATTTCACGAGCGATTCAAGGAGCGGCAAGGACAATACAGCTTGCGTGACCTCGCCACACCAACTGATTGTATACCTTTACTTTAAAACTATTATAATAATATATAAATTATCGATATTACAATAAATAATAACTAATAAAGTATGGAATGGTACAAAAATCCTAAACCAATTTCAGATAAAACATCTCAGGCTCTCACCTTCACTCGCAAATATAAAGAAGCTAAATGTAACGAAGACGAGGTACAGGCAGCAAACCATGTCCATCCAGAAGCCAAAAGCCTGATTAGTGTCGAGCACGAGGGTCCAGGCGCAGCTGTGCAGGTCCTGTAGTTTGTCGAACTCCCGCGCCAGCACCCTCTGCCGCGACCCGCACGACCTGATCGTCGTCAGCCCCGACACCGTCGCCGCTGCCTGGTTCAGGCTCGGACTGCGCGCTGATACGGTACGGAGAGCAATATACAGAAACCAGAGTAATACAACACTTTGCGTCCCGGAGGCCTAATTTAGTCCTCTTTCCCTTCCCACCCTTTTTCTTACAAGGAAAGAACGGGAAGTAGAAGTGGACTTTCCGGATGAGAGGATGCATGGGAAGGGAAAATATTTTCTTTCTGTGCATCCTCTCCTCCGGCGATTAAAGGTAGGCAACGCATATGCAATTGCGTATGTCTATGGGTAACGGTCACTCCGCTATTTCAGCGATTTCAGGTGGCTGATCGCTCGTTTGCCACCTATAAAAAAAAAAGAAAATATAATCAGGATAGGTTAGGTCATCAAAGGGATGACGCGTTCACCACTACGTTTGTAGACTGACTGTTTCCACTGTCTAAGCCCCGGTAATGTGATATTTTTCCTGGGATTAGTATACTACACTAATCATTAGCACTAATTCATTATAAAAAGGTAATCCTACCTATGGCTTCTATCCGCTTTAGCTCTCGACTGGTGCCGAGGAACAGCTCTCGCAGGAGGTAAAGTAGAAAGGCCACCACCGCAGTCGGCAGCAGCAGCCACCAGTTGGCCAGGCACACCACCACGAGCACTGACACGATTTCCAGAAAGAACTAGAAAAAAAGTGGTGATATTTCTCTAAAGAAATTAATAAAATGTGATTTCAAGGTGGAAAAATAGATTTTTTTATTGTATATAAGATATTCAGTAGGTTCTTACACCGATACAGTCTAGTAGAGTGACCGGCAAAGAGGAGTCCACCTGCCCTATGTCCTTGGAGAAGCGGTTCAGGATGCGGCCCGAGGGGTTGTGGTGGAAGAACCACATCGGAGCGTTCGACACTCCTCTGCAAATCATACACTTTCATTGAAACAAAAATTATATAAGAGAAAAAATGTTATTAAACCGTAACGGTACCGGAACATGGAGTCGTGTAAGTTGATGGAGGCTTTAATGCAGGTGTTGTAGAAGACGACCAGTTTGTTCCAAGTGAAGACTATGCAGACGCCGATGAGGGCCGCGTAGATGTAGATGCACTGTTCTCGACTCAGCTGCAGGTAGTTGAACGGATTCTGCATAGTATCTAAGTAAACGTGTACACGTATCATATGGAATCGTATTGAAAGCAAGCACGAACTTCCTTGTAGTTCCTCAAAGTTAATAAAGCGATAATGACTCAACATCTTAGTCATGCAAAGGAATAAGGAATCGTTTGCTTTCAAATACAATTTCATTTGAAAGATAGATTTTAAATCTATACTCATCTACTTAAAGTACCTGCTTTATTTTTACTCACTAAACAAGTATGAACATACATATTAAATCAAATGAACTTACCAAGGTCGGGAGAAGTTAAATTTTCTTGTGTCTTATTGCGATAATAGATGTTGTTAGATTCTTCTAGATTCACCCTGGAAGAAATTAGTCATATTACTTTAAGGTGACGCAATTTCACATTTTTGAGGTTAAGTGATTTAAGGTGATTTAGTATTTCTATCTACACTTCTTTTCATATTTACGTAGTCATTATTTTTAATGCAAATTGGAGTTACATCCACTACTCTAGTATTCCAAGTATGCTTTGACTGAAAACCTCACCACTCTTTCATCCAGACGTCAGTGCTGGAGTAGAAGAGCTGTGCGCAGACGAAGAGCGAGAAGAGGCAGACCATGGAAAATGCGCTGCCCCCACTTTTCACGTACGCCATATACACACTGCTGTCTACGGTGCCCTTGCTCTGCACCTCACCTGTAATCTCTTTCGTTAATGTCCCTCGAAAGCGCCACATTATGCATCTTCCGTAAACTAGGGAATTGGTAGAAGTTAAGTTGTTCCTAACTCACCTTCATAATCGGCGTCAATCGGATTTGCGTCATAAGAAATCTTCGAAGTCACCGATATTGTACGTTTGAGACGCATTGCGTTTTCTTCCTTCTAAAAAATAATTAAGGAAGTATTATTTAATTTCGAATTGGGGTACGTAACATTTTGAAAAGAGCAATCCTTATTACTTGTAATCTTGTGAATTGATAGTAGTTACAGTACATTAGTCATTTTGCTTACCAACTTTTCATCGTTTTCCTTCGCTTTCTTCTGTGTACCCTCATCTACTTCAACACTTTCGACGAGCCTTTTAAATTCTGGTAAAGTTTCCTGAAGTTCGGTGTAAGTGCCCTGTGCAATAATCTGCAGGAATGTTTTAACAATAAACATCAACACAAGTTAAAAGTGGGTAATAAATTTATTTTGGTGAAGTTATGGTGGCCGGCAAGAAAACAATAATTAGTGAGATTAGAGCAGGAGTAACAAGAAACGGTGGTCACCCTGCCGTCGCGCAGGAGGCACAGGTTGTCGGCATGGCGCGTGAACTGCGCCCGGTGCGTCACCAGCACCACAGCGCGCTCGCGCAGGAATCCGCGCACGCATTTTTCGTAAATTGCCTGCGCCACCTACAAGCGGATAAAATCCATAATGTTGGTAAATCTCTACACGCCTAAAGTTTTTATTGCATGTTAACACTAACCTTGGCATCTACAGCCGCCAGCGGGTCGTCCAGCAGATAGAGATCCGCCTGCTGGTAGACGCAGCGAGCCAGCGACACGCGCGCCCTCTGCCCGCCTGACAGGGAAGAGCCTGACCGCAAATGTGATATAGATGATTATTGGGATTGGCAAAAACAAAGAGCTATAGCCTCATATCCTCACCTCTCTCACCGACAACGGTTCTGTCCCCATGGGGTAGAATTTCGAGGTCGCTCTGCAGCTGGCAACATTCTAGTACCATCTTGTAGCGCTGCATATCCATTTCCTCACCGAAGAGTATGTTCTGACGGATCTAGAAGACGACGAAAAGACTGTTATTTTATCGGATTAGTTTAAAATCTATACAATAACACATTTGAGGAAATTTAAGTGGTCCATACGGAAGCGTCGAAGAGCCAGGGCTCCTGTGCGGCGTAGGCAATTTGCGCGGCGAGGAGCAGAGTGCCGGCGCGAGGCGTCAGTTCCCGCAGCACGGCTTGCAGCAACGTTGACTTGCCCGCGCCCACCGCGCCCACCACTGCCGTCAACGTGCCAGCTCGAATCTGAAATGTATGTTATAATTTAGCACAACTTCCGCTGCACTCAAAACAAATTGTCTCTGTCTGAACATATCATATATTTTGATTAATATGCATACTATTAAATTAATATCTGTGAGAGCTGGTATGTCGTTCGCTTCATCCCCAGAAGACTTCCAGCTTACGGAGTAGTCCTCCATTCTCAATAAGACGTCGGACTTCACGCCTGTCGTCTTCAACTCTATCTTCTCTTCTTCTGGCGGCCTAAAAAATATTTTTTTAGACTTTACCTAACTACCTTATATATTTTTATGATATTCTAATCCGGTTTTCAAGAAGTACTAGATAGCGTTATTCTATTTAATTAGTTGTCTGTTTACAAGTAAGAGTATTTTTTTATATTCATATCCTTAACTTCGATTTTAATATATAAAATCAGGAGTTTAGTTTTAAATTTGCATATATGGTAGTACTTACTCAGTGTGAACTTTTTCATACACGCCATTCTTTTGCACGACTTTACTCTCCTCGTGAATACGAAGCAAGTCTACGCCGTCGTTGTTGTTGACTTCCGGCAGTAGCAGGAACTCCTGCATCCTCTTCACGCTCACGTAAGCTTCCAGTACGAAAGCAATCGCCATCGGCAGGAAATCCACCAGTGTGTACTTGAGGTTCTCATAGTAGTAGAATATGACGAAAACTTTCGCCGCCGTTAGGTCATTTTCGAAGTAAATGAAGGAAAGAATGCTGATAAATATGGCAACTTTCGTATTCAGTTTAACACAAGATGTCATCGCTGCGTGCAACCAGCACATCTTTTTCAATATCTTCATTTCTTGTCTGAAACGAAAACAGAAAAATTAAAGAAGATACTAAACATAATTTGCTGGATATATACGTACTTAGCCCTTACTTTCTGGCTTCGCCAATGATTTTGGCAAAGGCGTTCTCCCAGGTGTAGATCTTGATAGCCTCAATGCTCTGTATCACTTCGTTCATCAACCGGATGCGGTTGTCTGTCCGCACGGTTGTCTGATGTCGCAACTTGCTCGATATTGTACCGAGGTAGCCTACATATTGTACAAAACTATTTATATCAAGCAAGTCAATACCTCGCTTTAGATTTAGCATACTCCCAAAAACACGAATATAGATTATTTTAAAAGTAATGCCAAATCCATAGCCAATTAAATCTGGCGAGTTAATGGATTTACTCAGTACCTTGAAGTGGTATGAAGAGAAGCAGAAAGGCGACTCCAAATAGAGTGGAGACGCCGATTTGGCGGTACATGAGGTAGACTACGAAGGCGCTCTCAATGGGCGTGCGGACCAAGTCGACTAGGAAGAGGATGGCCATGTCGAAGCGCTGCGCGTCCGTAGTCAGCAAGTTGATGACGTGTCCCGCCAGACCCTCGGACGCTTGCCCACCCACTGTTAAATCAAGTCTTAATAGCTGTAATAGTAAAAATTTATACATACATGTATCTAGAAGTCGATTTAATAATTGTCATTGAAAAAGAGTCTTGTATAATTGATAGCCCTTTAAGTCGGATAGCAATTGTTTTCCTTACATTGTTAGTGTCCAAAGTAATCATTTACATTCGTCATTCTGCAAACACACAATAAGATGCGCGGGAAAAACATTTCCCTTTTTATCAGTCGAGTATAACATCAGCTATTAGGTAGAAAAGTGACCTAATCTACAATACATGGTGTCGCACGTGTTCGCCGGTCTAAAAAGTTTGTGACACCAACTGAAAATATGAAGCACTAATTGTCGTCCGCGACTCCGTCCGCACAGAATTAAAAAAAAACTTTATCCTCTTGTGTGTGAAGCGTCCCAATTTGGGACGCTCGATTTTTTTTCTTGTCTGTGACACACTGCGTTAACAGTGTTTAGTTTTGCGCGTATTTTGCGGTGTATATAGTGTTTACTCTTTTGCACTTAGGAAAATCGGAACCGTAAGTAATATTTAATCGTCCTATTCTAGGATTCTCCACAGACAGGGAGACTCCTGTCTGTGAGAGCGTCCTGTATTGGGACTCACAGATGGGCTTATTTTGACATTTTGACGGTTAACATACGAAAGGTTATTCAAAGCCTATGTGTTCTTTCAGACTAAGTTCTACGTCTATCCCAAATTTTAATGGTGTTCCATGCAGCCGTTCTGGAGATGCCTTCTAACATACATCATCCATCCATAAATCCAAACATTCGCATTTATGATAATAGTAAGAAACACAAACACATTTAAGTACCTTTCGATAAATGAGAGATGAAGATGCCACTCTCAACTTCATACTCATCGCCAACATCCAAACGAAAAACGGATGCATTATTATTGCGTTCACCAGCTGCAACCTGAAAATGTTGTTGTTTCTTAAATATATACAAAGTTACTGCTCAAACACGGACGTGTGGACGTTACCACACTGACATTGATTACCAACATAATTGTTTGGATATTTGACTGGGTGCACATATGATTACAACACAAACACAAGTAAGGCAGCAAGGGACGTACCCGACCACACCAAACGCGTAGAGGTAGGCGTGAGACTGCGGTATGCCGGAGTTGGGGGAGGAGAAGTAATTGATCATGCCCTCCAGACATATCGGTATAGACAATCTAAATGAAATACAAAAGTTATCGTAAAAAAAAACGAAGTAAATTAAAACATGATTTAAATATCCACTAAAAGACACCATTCAAAGTTGATTATAAAATAGCGCTGAGTACTTTGCGTTCCGTTAGCAGTGGATAGTAGAAATATTAAACGCAGAGGACAAGGTCTCCGATTCCTCCCATTTGCTTTTCCTCTTGTTTGCACTATGGTTAGCACTGTTAATAAACATTGCGAGTATTCAGGAGAGGCGGCAGTCAGTTTACCGCCAGCACATTTACTTCCGTCTTGTGTAAAGGAATGGGGAAATAAATAAGTAATCAAAAGTTGGACCCACTCACCTTATGGTACTTTCAACTAAAGAAAATAATAAATTTCCAACAATAAACTTGAACCCGTAAACCGCTACAATTGCTTTCAACAAGGACGCTTTGCCGCCACTTTCTGGAAAATTAACCTTTTAATATCATTTATATGATAAATTAATTAGGAACGGCTAAACTCTTTTGTGCGAGTGTTCATCATCATCGCGACTCGCCCATAAGATGGATGGACCCCCGACGAGTCCGAAATTAGTCGGCCGAAATCTTCGCCGGTAGATCATGCGTGAGTTAAGCCGTTCCATATTAATTTATTATGTCTCACGAAAGTTTTATTCCTTAAAGTCTTCCGTTTTGTATCTAACAGTTAATAAAATAATGAAATACGGAAGTTTGAAAATTATTTACGGAATGGGTGTTCAGTGCACAAAATAAGTAACGATCTCTTGTGTCGGAGGCCAAGACCCACTTTGGGTCGATGCGCCAGCGATGTAAGTAAGTATTCTTTTATTATTTCAATTATTTGTTTGCATAAATGTTCAAATGAGTAAATAATAACCTCGTTTCTTCAACTGGTAGTTCCAGGTGGCAGCGAGCGTGTCGCCGCGCTGCGCCGCCCTGTGCCCCGGTGTGCATCTGCACATTACACAAAAGTTCATTTAAACAAAGATAAGCACTCACTTTGCGCGGCGCATACAGATGATCTTATATTACAGACAATATTGAATTAACATTAATAAATCTTACCTGTATAAATCTGATATAGTTAGTTCTCCTTTATGACCCTTTACGAATATGCCACGCGTGTACCTAGGTACATAAGAACGTTGGTATTACCTAAAGGCCATTCATTAATAATATTATCATTAAAAATTTTCATAAAAAGTCGTTACCAAAAGCATAATTTTGACAACAAATTAGCACTTTCTCGGGGGTTCTGTTGCCGGGGCGTGTCGAAGTGGCCGGGGTCCATGATGACGTCACTAGGCGGTATCTCTGTTTACCTGTATGGACGGCCCTTTCACTATACACCACTCATCTTTATATTAATCCTAAAACAAATTTCCTATAATAGCATTGTGTTTCTCAACAATCAGAAGAGCTGTGTCATTATATAAATTTAATAAAATTGCAATGTCTGCATGTGATATCAAAAAATCATCATATTTCGTACACATGATGCATTTACTATGTCTGAGGTACATGTAACCTAAGATTTTTTTTGTTTTTTTTTTATTTCTATACCGATAATGTAATTTGTAAAATGACGTAATGACATTAAAAGTGGATGAAAAAGAATAAAGAATCTTGTGATAAATAATAAAACAAAGGCTTGTTAATCTGTGCAATTGTCATGCTAAAATTATAAAATAATAAGAGATCTTGGAAGGCAAAAAAAACAGTAATTGAAACGTTAGTTATACTGAATGTACAGATTCTTGGAGCGATATTGATCGTTGTTTAACATTAAGTACATAATTAAACTTTTATTTTAAACTAGCGGTAGCCCGCGACCTCGTCAGTCGACAAACATACAAACAGACAAAAATGTTAAAAATAGTTTTTTCTTTATCAGCTTCGCAAATAAATATTGTGAACGATTTTTTATCTATATTACACGCAGACATTCCAATTTAATCATATATAAGCATATAAAATTCTCGTGTCACAATGTTATCTAGTTATTTTTATATTTTTTGCTTAACAATAAAAACAGGAAACGGCAAGCATATAAAAATGTAATCTAATTGATAAAAGTGATTCATTTATGCGTGAATTCTTATCTAACATCAATATTTAGGAAACATGATTCAGGTGAATCTTATCAAATAGATAACACAGCGGATAATCAGAACATCATCTGAAACACACAAGGCGAGGGTGCTTTTACGTTCAGGTTTAGAGTTACATATAACATAAAGAAACAACATAATATTATGTGCAAAATTTTATCATGATGAGCAGAATTGTTAAAGCGTCCAAACGTAACAAAACTAGCAAAGTCAAATTGATGTATTATATAATATTAGACAGCCTATTATAAGTTACCTTTGAAACCTTAATGTACATAAATTATGCCAAAAAAAAAATAAGGGGCCAAGATAATACGAAGTGGAGCGTCTAGAGAAGGTACTCTTTGAACAGTCGCACTTTAATACTTTTACTGCTACACTCAGAATTCATTAAAATGTTTACTAAGGGCGGCATTTAGTGTGGACTTAATATGAGATATCTACCATAAGGGACAGCGTAAATAATGATTCTCACTGCAGCGGTAAATACTTTAACATTAAGAAAAAAAGTCACGTTATACACTTACTTATTGTGAACTGTAGAGAACGTGGCGCTGCTAAATACTGAATAACCTTATTCCATATTTATAAATCACAATACAAAGAAATGGTTAAACAGTTTTTTAACTTTGATAATTCTAATATTGACAGATTTGATCAGGAACTTTCGTTTCTCGTGTCTAAAAGTAGCGCTGGCGACTGAACGCAGCAAAAAACCGCCACAGACTGATGAATGGCGATGGCGAATGTAAAGTAACCTTCCTCGACCAGTCCCAGCCGTAGTAGCATTTATCTAAAAAACCCTATCTCGCGTCAGCCAACACAACACAGCTGTGGAGTGGAGTACAGCAGTACAATACCGAGTTGAATTCAATGCAGACGATTTAAGTAAATCTGAAGAAATGGATTTATCGTGTTATTAGTGAAATTCTTTACCGAGGTTTACCCCTTTGGCAGTCCTAAGAGCTCTGAGAAACATCCTAAGCAACCAGAGGTCGACCACCTTATGTTAGTAACATGGATGGACGGATTTTATTATCTATATCCAGATCGGCTAAATAGATCTCCCTGAAATTTGGCATTTGGCACCTACATATAAAACAATTAAATCTTTAATTCCGGGGGAACGAAGTCGCGGCCAAAAACTAATCTCATAATAAAAATAAAGCAATAGGCCGAGGCTTCCGAAAACACTAAAACTAACATGTGTTGGAAAGAATTATCTAGGTATATAATTAACACAAACAAGTTCAAATCATTTTTTGGATATTCCTAAAGTGAAATCATAGAAGCCACCGCATGTCTTATCAGTTATGTTTAATAGAGCAAATTGTAAATGTAAGCAAAGCGAATAATCTTGTGATGTCACGGATCACATAGATATTAAAAAGTTCTAATAATGGTACGTTTTTTTGCAATTCAAAAAATAACACATATAACTTACAAATGTGACGAGCATTCTGTGTTTCCATCGTCCAATCATTGACATTGGAAGTGCGATTAGTGCACACCTGTATTGTAACTATTGTCCTTGTTTCACTTAATGTAACAGTTGCCATTATTATTTACGTTTCGAAGACACGATTTAACTGCATGTCGTATCAATTATAAATAATTCAAATGATAAACACGAAAAAATAAAGTGGATACGTACACTGGCAATTCTATATTCAAACATAGAGACATAACAAATACAGACGAAGGTGATATCATGTCTGGTGTGACTGCCTGATGACACAACTGTGGGTTTTCCCTAGTTGCGATGCGATTCAAAGACAGTAGGGTCCCTATTTCACTAAGCGATTAGCCGCAGTCGCGACCGCGTACAGACATAGAATTTTATTAGAACGTTTCGTGTACAAGTTCGTTGTGTATACTGCAGCACTAGTTAGTATTCATTGGAAATTATTTTTATTGTTATAAAATAAAAGATTATGTTCATGTGTACAATGCTAAACAATATAGTTAGTTTGTCACTGTTCAAACATTTACAGCAAGCACTAAACGGAAAAGAGCAAATCTTTGCGCAAATTTAAGTGAACGTGCGACCTCGGGAGCAATGGAGTCGATTACTTAACATTAAAGTTCATTCCACGACGAGACTTACCAAGAATTCAATTAACAAGAATCGTAACCGTATTGTAATTGCTTGAACTTACTTCTTAATTAACATTATTGATGACGAAAATGTACAGATAGAACGTATGAGTCAGACGTGCATAAAATGCAATGTCCATAAGCCCTAACTCTAGCCTAGCCGAGTTGGTTATGGTAGCTATGATATACCAAAATACCGACTAATACTGCACAAAATACAAACAATGTAAATGATAACACTCGAAGTTGTAGTGAGTCATACGTTTATGCGAAACGCTCTACTCCACTATCTGCTGCTGCGCTGGCTGTAGCGCCGTTTATCTGTTGTGTGTATATGTATTATATAATAAATAAATAAATAAACTCTGGTACAATAAATTAAGCTGAGCTGCGAACTAACCTAACCTAATCATTATTAGTTGCCGCTTTTTTATATTTATAATAGCTCTCTCCTCCCGCCTGCATATCAAATTGCACAACCATTTCGCCATTATTATTTAGCAGCAAACCGCCTTAACGTCCTTGAAATAGCAAACATCAACACTTTTATTGTTTAACGTCGTATCGTCGTATCATCAAAGTAGTTGATTCATTCTTTAACAATCATCCTCACAGCTGAGCTGACGTAGCAAAAACACTATATGAACAAAAATGGAGAGAATATAAAGGAGAAATATTATACAAAAATAAAAGTAATACAATAAATTTCACAATGATAAATTTTTATTTCCCAAAATTAAATATTTTAAACAAATAAAAACAAATACAAACGTAACAAAAAGATAACTAACTAATATTATATTATATATGCTTTTACTCAATTTTCTTTTTCTATTTAAATAGATAATGTACGAAATTGTGAACAATCAAAGGAATATTTAAACACAAAATATATATTCAAATGCATATTATTTTAACATTCAAGTTATCACAGATCTTTGGTATTTATTTACACTGAAATAGTTTATATTATATGTTTGTAAATCGTTCTCAGCTCACTGTGCGTCCCTAAGTCGGGGGTGACTAGGTCATTGTCAACCACGCTGGCCAAGTGCGGGTTGCTTGACTTCACACATATCTTTGAATTTCTTCTCAGATATGTGCAGGTTGCATCACGATTTCTTCCTTCACAGTAAGAACGTCAAATAAATACAACGTAATAATATGTTACTAATATTATAAATTCGAATTCAGTATAGATGTAAAATATAGTCTGGAATTATTCATAAAGTTTTTTTTATTTAATTCCGGGCGGACGGAGTCGCCGGCAACAACTTGTGTTATAAGATATAAAAATAGTAATAAAAATATAATATTACTATAGTAAGTAGTAAGTCCATCACCAACCTCACCGATCTAAACAACTAACAACAACCTCGGGATGTAACAAATCATAAAAGCTAAATAATGCCTGGTAACCACAACCTGTACCGTGCTTTGTGTCACGACAAATACAAGACAGAGTTAATGTTATAACATCGATCTAGTCCCGGTTCACTTGAAAACATTTTGCATTTTTATTTGTTCATTTTTGCTCGTCAACTTCCATACAAAAAATGATTGCAAACTTACAATAAGAATCAATAAAAAACTACTAAAACAATTTTGTATAAAACATTGCTCAACGAAACGCTGCAATAAATTAAGGCGAATAAAATGTTAATTTTCATGTTTTCACTTTGATGTAATTCATCTCTGTCATTCATCTTCATACACTAACACGAACACTAACACTGCGTTTTCTTAACAATATGCATGTGAACTGTGAAGGCAGTCCGGTGTCAGGGGACGTGCTCGCTTGCTTCTTCTCCAGTTTTCTTCCAATTACAGCTTCGACCTTTCGCCCATGAGTTTGTCCCAAATACAATATCTTTCCCAGTTGGGGTTGAACACCAGCTCGATCTCCTCGTCGACATGCAGCGTGTGCTTGTTCTCGGCGTCGTACGGCAACCACTGCACCGGCTGCTTCTTCCATGTTGGTTTGCTGTTAAAACAAAACAAAATTACGATATTACGCTATTTCTTCCATCTTTACGATAAACTAAATACAATTCAAACTTCTTACCCGTTCTTAGCGAAATTACACCACGCTTCGGTGAGGCAATCGACGATCTTTTGATCGTTTTCAGTGGATTTGTCAGCCTTGCTCCTCCTATAGAAGAGGTACTGTACGAGGTCTCCGTGCGTCGCGCCCGACCGGCCCAGCTGCCTCATCACGCTCGTGTTCATCTCGCCCAAGTACGAGAAGTAACAAAAGTATACATCGTCTATATATTTGGACATGTGTTCCACAAACATAACGGTGTCTCTGGCGAAGTATGCGTCCGACACCAAATCTAAGTACTCGTCCTTACCAAATTCTTCGCCCCTAAAGTAGAACTCCTTTAGACCTTTAGCAAACTTCTCCGCTCTCTCTGTGTCGAATTTTATCCCAGTATAACGCGGAATGAAGTACTGCAGATTTTTGTGAAACTCGATGTCGCCCGCGTCGTTCCTCGACAAGAAGAGCGCACCTTCGTGCGAATTCAATGTGGTAAGTATCGGCATTCGGTTGATACGATTCGCGCGGATCGAAACTATCGCGCGTTCCTCGATAAATGGCTCGATCCCTTCAAATTGTTTCTCAACGACGGGTAACAAATTCGCGTTGATGACATACGAGGGGCGATCCACTTCAGCGCTGATCATGGCAAACATTAGATCCTCGACGGGGGCGTTCATTAGGAATTCGTACAAACTCTTCTTGTCGGACGGCTCTTGACCCAGCAACTCGGCTATATGTCGGGCCTTCTGCACCGGGTCCTCATCCATCATGACCAGGTCCGCCAGCAGGTTGCCCGACTGAGATATTATCTTGTGACACAAGCCCCTCGTCATTTTACTAGTCAAATAGAAGGTGACGACTCCCGAGCCTGCGCTCTCGCCGCAAGCCGTTATATTGTTCTCGTCTCCGTTGAAGTATTTTATATTATTTTTCACCCATTTTAAAGCCATCACGGTATCTTTCATGCCGGCGTTGCCGGGAACTTCTCGAGTGTGTAAACAAAGAAAACCGAATATGTTCAATCTGTAATTAATAGTAACGAGGATGACGTCATGTTTCAGCAAATAGTCGGGCTGGTAGTAATCTCCGTAGCCGACGAGAAACCTCCCGCCGTGAACAAAGAATATAACTGGAAGTTTGGCTACTTTCTCCGCCGGTAAGCATGGCGTGTAAACATTTAAATAAAGACAATCTTCAGAACCGACCAATGCTTTTGGGGAATAAGGATTGATTTGTGCGCATTTGTTGCCAGGTTTAGTGGCGTCACGCACTCCACTCCATTTTTCCGGTTCTTGTGGGCACTGAAATTATAAGACGGCAATTGTTTCTCAATTCTTAAACACAATGAGTTCAGTCAGCATTACAAAAAAATAAAATAATAACACAACAAAGAAGTCTTAAGTTTTTGGATAAATAATTGTATGAAAATGCGTGAAATCTTTATAGAATATTTAATTCAAGGTAAACCAGTTCACACTGGTTTCTACTTAAAAAAAACACAGCTTTGTTAAAAGATTATTTATACTTACCCTAAAACGCAATTTGCCAACAGGAGGTTTAGCGTATGGTATTCCTTCAAAACTGTAGAACCTCTTTCCGTAATATGTGGTGCAAACCTTGCCTTCCAATGTCCCTTGCTCCACAGTCACACGGCAATTCATATTTTCTACAAACATAAAGTCAATCATACTTTATATTCAAAACAATTGTAAAATGACTGACAACATACACAGAGAAACCAGAGATCATTCATTTTTAAATAAATTGTGATTAGTATTCACAGTATCCAAGAAGCATCTCTGCCATTTGATCTTATCTGGTTTGTCCACAATGAAGATATAGTATGCTCAAAAACTGCATTTACAGCAAATATATTAATTGCTTAATGGATTGAAGATAATACATATTGAACATGTGGGATTTTTTTATTCAATATTTCTTGTGACATTTGTTATGCCGGGGAACATCATCTGCCTTATTTCTGTACACATTTTCGTCATTGAATGTTTTTTATATATCACATTTTTTTTTATTCTAGTGTCCAGCGATTGATAGTCCATAATCTATTTATTATACAAAGAATATAATTTAAAACAAATGATTTTCAAGGATTATTTGACATATCATATTACTTTGTACAGCGAAATTTATAGTGAACTTATCAGAAGTTCAAATAAGATTCATTTTCAATAGAAATAGTAATAAAAAAGAAAGTTTTAACATAAGAACATTCAGAAAAATTTAAATAAACGCTTATTAATGTCATTTAAGATTAAAAATAGATATTTATACATTATTACATTTTTGTTGTTTTCTGTATTTAAATTAAAATACATTATTACCTTGTATACAATACACAAAAATCTTCAAAAACTTACCTGAAACTCAAATCTGAGTTACTCTCGGTTTGAAAATTATAAATTCTTCACTAGTCACTGACAAACGATAGCTGGCATGAATATAAAATAACAAAAGCTGGAAGCACACTGCACATGAAAATGTATTCAAATAACTCTTAACTTTTATTAACTTATTTTAGTGAGTACAAAAGTCATAAAAGTTGTCGTCCTTCATGTGTCAAAGTCACAATCTGTCAAAATGTACAGGTCAGTGACATAATACACTCTATTGACCTCCACGAATGGATTGGCAATAAAACGTAGTATTTTGTACCTATTTAATTACGGACATTTTGGCGTTGATGGGAGCGGTTTGCAGAGTGTCTATATAAGATTTAAGATATAAGATTTTAGATTAGTTTGACAATTCACTAGAGATGGGTTGATTACAATCGGTTATAAAAATTTTCGATATACGATAGTTGTTCTCATAGAACTTGCAATCGAAAATTTTTGAATTAATGTTTTTGATTCACAACATAAATGAAATTGTTTCTTTTTGTGCCAACTTTATTCTTCAAAAATAACTTTTTTTCAGATCAGTGATCAGTGGCTTAAAAAACGAAAAACTGCGAAAAACATTGAAAAACCAAAAAGTATATAAAATAAGAAGGGAAAAACTGGGAAAACATACCATTACTTTATCTGTGAGACTGCAGTGTAAAGTTCGTGCGTGTCAGTGCGTGTATTCGAATGATATCCGCCGCCATGGCGCCATTGCTGTTGCGACATATGTAGCGTGACAAGTCATGTCATTTTTGTTCTTGATATATGAAAAACTCCAATGGCAGATTCTTTTTTCGGGTTCGATACTTCGTTTCCGGTGAGTTTTTACAGATTTCAGTGTGTTTAGCTGATTACTTTGATATATAGTGTCCTTTTGTACTTCATGCAACATTTTAGTGCCAACATGCTAAGTATCACGTTTTGCCTATTTTTGTTTTTTTTGTACATTTGAAGGCTTTTGAGAGATTTGAATACATTATAAAATAGTTTTTAATACAACTTATTGTAGGTAAAGTATGATTTTAAAGAAATTCTTCTTTTACGTGACGTACGCGTATAGTTTATGTAGTCTTATGGGGTCATAATGCTTGTTTATGTCTTGACGAGTTTCCATAGTAAGTGGTACTTTCAAAGCTCAACTCTGCGAATCGAACTTTTTGCATCATTTCAACTGTACGGGAAAATTGAAAACAACAAATTATTTACAAAACATGACTCAATATTGGATTAAATGGTCACAATACTTCAATAAACTGCTTGTATGTTTGTTTCGTTTCTTTTACATGCTGCCATATGGGTCTAAATATCTCTTGTACAATATTAAATTGATTCTAAATCGAGTTTTAATTGCATTTCATAGGTACAGTAAAATATTGTGATACAATAGAATTACAAAATATGCACCTTACTACTGATTTAAAGTTCATTGATTTCTATTCACTGATCCATTGTTATCTTATTTAATTAATTAATTTTATATTCCTGAAATAATTATTTCAAAAACCAAGGAATTTTCTACCAATATACATATTTTCATTATCTGTATTTGTGCATACTTGGCATCAAAAATGTCTTATTAAATTTATAAGAAATAGTTAACAAAATTAAAGCTTATAATATATACAAATAGTAATTTTTGTATATATTATGATACATAGAAAACATGTAATAGATGTTCTGTTTTGCATTTATTTCTTATTTCTAATTTCTAACTTAACTTTAATTTCTAATGTGTCTAATATGTGCAACACATAGAGTAATGCAATGAAAAATTTGTGAACAGAACCTAAATGACGATGAAGGTGGTGGGGGGCCTTCAGAGGATGAGTATGATGCACTCAACGATGAGACCTTTGGACAGGATTGTAAGTACCTACTCTACATCACTCAGTTACCTTCACTTGCTACATCTCTCAATATAATCAGTATATCTTTATTCATTGTATGTGTGTTTATTTACAATGAATGAAAAGCAAAGCCTTTGTATTTTGAGGATATTGCAGGAATGAATGCCATTGACACAAAATTATGGTTGAATTTTGGGCAAAGGGCAACCACTGGTATATAAATATATTGTGTGATGTATGTGCAGCGGACGAGCTGGACTGGGAGGTGGAGCATGAGCAGCTGGCGGAGCAGCTGGAGAGCAGCCGGCGACACCACACTCACATAGACGATGACAACCTGCAGCTCGGTGAGTCACTGTAACTACTGTCTCTCACAATCAAACAAGAAGAATCACTGTTTCATGAGTGTGTTACTTTTACACCACTGGAAATCTAATGGCATGTTTAGTTAATCAATTTTCATGTATAATTGCAGAGGCATCCCTGTCCAAGTTGGTGCTGGACGAGCCGGAGCCGGTGCGCCTCTCCCTGGGCTCCTCCGTGTGGCGGCACGACCTTTCCTTCCCCACACCCGCGGCTGCCACAGTCAGTATTTTTCATTTAAAGTAATAATATAAAGAAAATAATTGTTTTACAGATCTTTTTTTTTAAATCATCCTCAATTCACTAATGGTTTTTGTTGTAATAAAACATAAAAAATTATACATATAGTGATTCAATCAAATTTTCCTTTTTCGTAATATAAGGAGTTGTTACTTTGTGTGTATAGCCTGTGCCACCGCTCAAAAATGTGTGCACGGTGGAGGAGCTGGAGAGACAGCTCCGACAGGGCCAAGTGCATCAGCAGCTGCAGCCCCAGCAGCAGCAGCAGGCAGCTTTCCCAGGACAGAACTACTATCAGGTTTGTGATAGACATATTTATTTAACTTGGTGTCTGAATGTATGATGAATTTTTATGCTCCTATTAAACTTAATAAAACAAATTTATAAAACATATTTTTGGATCAAGCACACACATAATATCATTTTATTTCATAAATTCCAGCAAAGATTTCCAACCATGATTCTACAAAGACCTCCAGGACTCCAGGCGCCGGTCCCTCTGCCCTTTGCGCCGCAGCAGCCCATAGGACACAACAACAGTCAGATGAGCGCGCCCCTAAACAACATAGTCGGACAATCCGGACAAATGAACCAAATGACTCAAGGAAATCAAGCAATGCAAAACCATATCATGCAGAATGTCAACTCATTGGGTCAAAATATGGGTCAGATGACACAGAATGCCAATCACTTGAATCAAATCAATCAAATGACACAAAACAACCCGTTCATGCAGAACAATCAAGTGAACCCTCAGTTTCAGAATAACCAAATGGGACAGACTATGATGAATCAAATGCAACACAATATGCAGAATGTTCATCAGATGAGCCAATCCAACCATATGCTACAAAACCAGATGGGACAGAATATGAGCCAAATGGATCAGACTATGGCGCAGATGAGCCAAAGCATGAACCAGATGTTGTCTAACGGCAGCCAGTACGGCCCGGGAATGAATCAGTTCTCTCACATGCTGGGCCAGTCCCGGATCCCGCCGCCTCCGGGGATGGGAATGCAGCGACAAAATTTTACTCCAAGTATGAACCAATTTAATCCTAATTTTCGTGTAAGTATTTTTTCTTCTAAAAATTTTTAAACTTTTCTTTTAAATATTACAAAAATAAAAAATTATTAAATTTATTTAGTAAAATTTTAGTTTTAAATGAAATGTAAAACATCTAAACTATATGTCTAATTTTAGCTGAACAAAAGTAATTTTTTTTCATATTTCAGGGCCCGATGTCAACTAATAAAGCAACAGAACAACAAACACAAATAAATCAGAATATGATGATAAACCAACATCTAAATAATCAACCTCTGATAAATCAGAATATTGTCAAACCTGTAATGAACTCCCAGCAGATGACACAACAAAATCCACAGCAACTGGCCAATCAGCAAATCACTGCGCAGCATAAAAACTCCCAGCAAATCAACTCCCAGCAAATGAACTCGCAGCAAATGAACTTGCAGCAAATCAACCCCCAGCAAATGAATCTACAGCAAATGAACCCCCAGCAAATGAACCTACAGCAAATGAACACCCAGCAAATGAACCTACAGCAAATGAACTCACAGCAAATGAACCCACAGCAACTGAACCCACAGCAAATGAACCCACAGCAAATGAACCCACAGCAAATGAACCCACAGCAAATGAACCCACAGCAAATGAACCCACAGCAAATGAACCCACAGCAAATGAACCCACAGCA